AAAGGCGGCAATAAGGACAGAGCTGTTCGCCAGCTGAAGAGCCAGCGCTCCGTGTGCACTTGTTTGGGAAGGTCCGCATCCAGGGCGCTGAAGCCCTCTCCGCAGTGGGAACGCTCCTGCACTTCTCTCCTGGGGGTTCTGCTTCCACCGCTCACCAGCTGGATGACTCAGGGAAAGCTGTTTCGCTTCCCCAGGCCTCAGTTTCCCCGTCTGCCCTAACTCATTTAAACCTCCCAACAAACCTCTGAGAGGTATTACGGTCGTATGGATTTCCCAGAAACTGAGGCACGAGTTCAGGCACGTTGCTGAGGGTCATGCATCTAGTGAGCAGTCGGACTCTGCAGCCCAACCTCTCAACCGCATGGCTCTGTTGCCACTCGTCGTATGTTTTGAGGAGTTTCAGCGCTCCCTCAGCTAGAACCTGCAACCCCCAAAAAGCCATCCCTTTCCCAATTTGCATCTTTGATCTGTGGAGGAGGAGGGCTGTGCGGAGGGCGGGCTCTGCGGTGAAATGGACAGCCTCAAGGTAAACAGGCAGAAAAACCTAGGAAGAGCAGAGCGCCTGGTGGGCAGAGAAAATACAGGAACTGCTCAGCAGTGACAACTGGCCCGTTCCAGGCCCAGGCCCTGCTATAAACACGCACACCACCCCAACAGGACCTGAGCCACCACCAGCCCCACCCCCACCCCACCGTGCCCCATGACCTTTAAGATGAAGGTCTATGGTTGGCAAACTGCGGCTCTTTGGCCCCTTGAGTGTGGCTCTTCCACAAAATATCACATGCGGGCTCGCGGACAGTGCGATTGAAACTTCGTGGCCCATGCACAGAAGTCGGTTTTCGGCCTGGGCGAGTCTATTTTGAAGAAGTACTGTTGATATTTGGCTCTGTTGACTAATGAGTTTGCCGACCACTGGTCTAGAGCATTTTCCTTTGTGAGTTGCACTTTTTTTTTCTTTTTGCCCAAGCAACTATGCTCCTCTTATTCTTCAAGTGATTAGATGAGAGAGATAAACGCCTCATGCATATAAAGTTTCCTCCTGCAGGAGGTGAGTGGATGGGAGAGCCACTGTCATGTCATGATGAGTCACTGCCTGGATTGGGAACAAACACCTACAAAGATACACAGGGCGTAGGCTCAGTAAGTAACCGGTTAACTGGCACTTCTGACGCCAATTACTGCCCCTGATGCGTTTTCCTAATTTTTTTTTTCCCCTCTTCATTTTTCACAGCTTTGGAGCTGTCTAAGTTAGCAGCCTGCTCATTCTCTCCATTAAAATGCAGAGCTCCGCTTCCTCTTCTACCTTCAGAGTCTTGGGAGCCAGACTCAGAACAGAGGGGGGAAGTGAGGGCAGGGCTAAAGAGGATCATATAAAAAATAAATGAGCCCTTCATAAAAATGAATATTATTACCAAAGGGAGCCGCCTGCCAGCATCGCCACGTATATATTAACTCAGCTGCCGAGTTCTGTAACAACACGGAATTAAGCCCATGCGTCATCTTTTCAGTGGTTGCTCCCTTGATTTACTCTTAACTTTAAACAACCAATTGTGAAACGAGCGCTTCTCTTTGCCATAATGATGATGAGGCTTCGCCCGGTACTATTTTTTATCATGTGAGCTTGAAAATAGGAAAAATAAATTTAGCGGTGCTTAGTACACTCTACGGCTCTCCAAAGAAACCAGACATTTGGGTGGGTGGAGGAGGTGGGTGGGGGGAACTGTTTAACTCAACCAGCTTCATGAAGTCATTTGCACAAATTCTAAAAACTGACTTCAGTCTCCTTTAACTTAGCATATCTTTCCCCGAGGATTCCAAATGCCAAAAAAGCTGGGCCTTTTTGCTGTCTGCATGAGCAACTGCAGATGGCCTCTTTTTCTTCACACTGAAACGCATGCCTATCAGATGCCCGTCTTTTCCTCGGAGGCCCACAGCCTACCGAGGGGACAGTCTAAAACAGTGGTTCTCAACCTTCCTAATGCCACAACCCTTTAATACAGTTCCTCATGTTGTGGTGACCCCCAATTTCATTGTTACAAATTGAACATAATTAAAGCATAGTGATTAATCACAAAAACAATATGTAATTATATATGTGCTTTCTGATGGTCTTAGGCGACCCCTGTGAAAGGGTCGTCTGACCCCTAAAGGGGTCACGACCCACAGGTTGAGAACCGCTGGAAGAAGCCCAAAGAGCCTTCCTGATGACAGCGAGGCCCTGAGACCACCTGAGCTCCCGCGGCTTATGTCTTGCTGGGCATTTTGCTGGGTCCACATGTGTCCTTTTTAAAAAATATATATATTTTATTGATTTTTTACAGAGAGGAAGGGAGAGGGACAGAGAGTCAGAAACATCGATGAGAGAGAAACATTGATCGGCCGCCTCCTGCACACCCTCCTGTAGGGATGTGCCCACAACCAAGGTACATGCCCTTGACTGGAATCAAACCTGGGACCTTTCAGTCCACAGGTCGATGCTCTATCCACTGAGCCAAACCAGTTAGGGTCGCATGTGTCCTTTTGTTCTTTGCTTCTCGCAGTTGCTGTGCTCTGGCCCCCTCGTGGAAGTTGTGACTCTGAAAACAAGCAACTGATTCCCACAGGCAGCTTGTGGCATCGGTGTCATTACTTCACAGCCACACCTTGTAAATCTCTCCAGGCTACGAGCTTGTGTCTGTCCCCCGTGGTTCCGAGAACAATCTGCAGCCTGCGCTGACAGGAAGGGCCATTATGGTCGCGATGTTCTCACCATCTGGAATGGTTACAGTGTCAGGATCTGAGATGACTCACTGTGCTGAGCAATCATTTCTCTGATGGCAGCACTAATCAGGGGGGATGAGGCCGTTGCTAAGAGCCGCTGCGTGAAGAATACCCAGCCAGATGAGAGGAAGGGCGTTGATTTGCTCTGACCCATTTGAAAATAAAGTGGCCTGGAATGCTGTCTTTGGTTCTACAGGCCATCCTTTAGGCCCCTTGGGCCAGCCGCGAGGAGTGTGGCTGTTTCTATGGGCAGAGGACCTGCCCCGGGCTCTCTGTCCTTCTCTGTGGCCAGCTGTGGCCTGAGGAGACTGAGTAATTCCCTGACTGAGGCATAGCAGTTTGGTGTGGAAAGGGGCAGTACAAACATGTGAATACAGTATTTTATGCAGCCCCTCCCTCCAGCGTTTGTCCTGGTGCTATTCTGCGCAAACCCTAACCTGGCCACAGGCACCCCAGCCCACAGCCGGTCCCAGTGGAAATTCCCATTGGCAGCTGGAGGATCTGAGAAACCACTGCGCTCAGCCCGAACCCTAACTGTTGCCTCCAGAAGGAACCCTGAAGACACCTTGAGTTTAGACTTCCAGCATCCAGAACTGGGAGAGAATAAATTTCGTTTGTTTTGTGCCACTCAATTGGTGGTAATTTGTTATGGCAGCCCTAGGAAACGAAATTCATGGGAGACCAGATGACCTTGTGCGTCACAAGAACAAACCCCAGACAAGAGCCAAACAGACTCCCCTTATGACTAAAAGTTTCCATCAGCTCCTTGGTGAGTTGCTGCACCCAACATGGCCTTCGAGTCTGTGCTCCAGGTCACTGCATCATAAAACAGAACGGTTACATTCCATGCGGGGTTGATTCATTTGATTCCACTCCTTTTGTTACCATCAAGGGGTCCCAAGTCCAAGCTGAATGCTTACCCCTGCCCTTCACCATGTGGTGGCCACATCGTCCTTTTCTCTGATCCTCTTCCCAGCCTTCTTCCTCTCCGTGGCCTTGCCTTATGCAGCTGCTCACCCACTTCACCAGTGGTCCCAAGACTCTTGTAAGAAAATCCAACAGCATCCTCCATCTTAAGATGAAAGCTAACACTCATGTAGCATTGACGTATTACCAAATGAACTCATTTACTCCTCACAACCACTTGCTAATATCCCCCTTTCATAGGCAATAACATTGAGGCCCCAAGAGGCTAATTTGCCCAAGATCAACAACCAATAAGTGACAGGACCTAGACAGAAAGCCACAAAGTCTGGCTCAAGACAAACTGCTTTGCATAACGACTATGCAAATTGCCTCCAAAGTTGGGCCGGAGGGAAAAGCACTAACGAGGCTGGCAGCCCGGTGCCCTCTGCTTCCCAGTGTTCACCATCCCTTTGGGACGCTCCCACCTGAGACTGCAGCTCCCCGCGTAACACACTGGCCCAGACGAGGACTCTCATTCCTTACAGCACAACCACGCCAGGGCTGAAATCCGTAAAGCAATCCTAGAGGAAAACCGGAAAGTGGCCACATGCTGCCACACCCGCCTTGCTCCCAGGCTGTCTCCATGACGGAGGCCATCTGATTCTCTCCCCCTCAGGGAGAGGGTCAGAAAATGTCTAAATTTTGGCCCAAGGACAGGAGGAGAACATGAGGAGAAGGGGTTGCCCTTCCTGACTGCCTGCCTGGTCTTCCCACTTTCCTACTGATGTCCAGCCTCCAGCCTCCTTCCTTGGGAGTGACCACACATAAACTCCCTCTCTCTCTCTCTCTCTCTCTCTCTCTCTCCCTCACCCCCCCGCCCCAACTGGGAAAACTCCTCCCTCTGTCCACATGGATGTGGTCTTAGCCTGTGATCTCAACAAGACCCCTTCATCCTAATACAACACAGTAAGCCTGGTATCGCACCCTGAGACCTGCAGGTCCAGGAGCAGAAAGAGGGGGTGTCCCCCATATCCTCTCTACGATGGAGTGGGGAGTTTCTGGCTCATTCTTATCTCTGTTAGCCATGTACTCACTGCTGAAATCCAAAAGACGTTTCATTAAAGAAGGGAGTGAGACAACAGGAACTGAATTTGCTGAGGAGCATGGGGAACATTTGTTTCTTGTTTTGCACATTCACTGCGATGTGAAGATGTTGTGGCCACAGTGGTATCTAATTAGCCCACAACACTTAGAAAATGAACCTGACAACGAGACTGCTGTGAAAGTTAACACCTGGCTTCCAGGAAGCTGTCCTGAGCCCCTACGCTTTATTTTATCTCTTCCCTCCTGCCCCAAACTGGCTTCTGATTTCTGCCTGTGGCAAGGACTCTTACCGTTAACTCAAGGCTAGGGTGTGGGGTGTTAGAAAACGATTTCAAATTCAGTGCCATTTCAGTGCTGGTCAAAGGCTGTGCACGCTGAAGAAGTGAAAGTATGGGTTTTGCTTAGGGGACACTCCGCGGTACATGTTCTTAAACCACTGCCTGACGAAAGAGGTTAGTTCCCCCCCGCCCCCCGCCCAGTTGAACCCTATTTCTGATTTTGAAGTAAACACAGTTTATGTTATGTGCTGAAAATGAAGTTACCTATTTTTTTGAACCACTTCTGGTTCAAAAAAGCAAGCTATTATAGTGATTATGGTAGTGTTTTAGGGTCAAGCTCTTCCAAAGACAAATAAGATGTTCCCAAATGGTATTATGTTGAAATATTAAATATTAAAAGCTCACATTTACCAAGAGTTCAAAGTCTGGGCTATTATGAAAGTCTGGGCTATTATAAGGCAGCCTCCAGCAGAATCTAGAAAGATGCTTAGACAATGAAGGTTATTGATTTTCTCCGTTAAGGAGCAGGGAGAAAACAGTGATTCAACTGATCTTAAAGGTGAGGGGGCAGAAGAGGTTGTGGGTAAGTTTGGAAAAATTCACCAGCTCCCAGAAGGGGTACTGTTGAGGCCTGTGAAGCATTCGCATCTGGCCTGTGAGCCGCCCAGGCTAAACGCAGAGCCACGGGGTGTTTCTGGTGGCTGACCTGACCCGAGAGCCACAGCGAGCCACACAGGGGCTTCGCCGGCATTTTTAACACCTCCTTGTACTTAGCTTCCACCCACCTCATTTAAGGTCGGAGGCATTTCATATTTTTTGCAATTTTTTAAAAACCTTAGCGCTGGCAGGTTTTACTAACCACAGGGCAACCACACTCCTGTTCAGTCACCAGTGATGGTGAAAGTCTAGTATTTACAGCATCCGTTCCTATTTGCTTGCCTTTTCTCTCTTTTTGTTTTTGTCTTGTTTCACTACTAAATTTCTCTTAACCAGTGGTTCTCAACCTTGGCTGCACATTAGAATCACCTGGGAATCTTTTTAAAATCCTGATTTCTGGGCCTCATCCTCCGGAAATTCTGTTTCTTTGTTATGGGGTGGGGCCACAACATTAGTAACAAAGAAACAGAATTTCTGGAGGATGAGGCCCAGAAATCAGGATTTTAAAAAGATTCCCAGGTGATTCTAATGTACAGCCAAGGTTGAGAACCACTGCTCTTAACCCTCTGAATGGCTTCGTTTTGGTCTATCTACTAAGCTATGAACCAGTAGGCCTGGATTTGAAGCTTAATCTGATATTAAATAGTGGTGTGAATGTAGAGGTGTCATTTAAACTCCTCTGCACCTCATTTTCTCACTTTGTAATATGGAATTCATGGACTAAAGAATTTTTAATTTGATGAGATCTTAGATGCTTTCTAGTATAGCAAAATATTTTTTCTTTCTCTCTTTTTTTTGCAGATGAAAAAGTTGAAGATCAGAGAAGTTAAATGAATTGCCAGAAACCACCACCAGACAGGATTGACAATAAAAATGAGGTAATAAGCAAAGGATATTATAAGAACTCATTTAATACTCTGAATGCACCGTTGCCTTTGGCAAAATACTGAGGTAAATAAAGCCTGTTTTCCTATCTTCCCTTTCAGCTCCCTACTTATCTCTGAGAACCATTTAAATTTGTGGCCATTGTTTGCCAGGAGGGACTGGTAATGCAATCATAGCCTGTCTGCTGTGACTCTAGACACCACACGTAAGGACAGCTGTATTTGGAGACCTCAGGAAGTGAACTATAAGAAGTATTGTTAATGAAGCAACTTTCACAAAGATGAAGCTTGCATGCTGGCAGCTTCTCAGTCTTGGCCTTTTATTACTTCTTACAGAATCTTGAACATAAAAGATTAGTGAGCAATAAGACAGTGCCTGGAGAGAAATGGACAATATATTGGCAGCTTAGAAGACAATTTCTGGGTAGGAAAACAATTCTCTGTTCTTCCTTCCCAAAAGTTTGCTCATTTGGGAGCCAATCCCGTATGAAACAAAGTTAATTTAGAAAGTTCATGTGAATGAGATGTGATTAATTTTCAAATACCATCACTTCAACGTACTTTGGCTATTTTAGTTCAAAAACGTTGGCCTAATCTCTTAAAGCAGACTTAGAACTACACCTTGGTTCAAGGCTGCAAACATGAGTTCCAGGGCCAGGGGTTCTACAGCATTAGAACCCCCAGGGAACGTCTTTAAATGGAAAACTTTCCAGGTCATCACACTAGATATTTTGAATCAATTGAAGTGGCATGGAGCCTGGGCACCTGTATTATTTTAAGTTTCCAGATGCTTGTCAGTCTCTACTGATGTGGTGCCTGGGTGATGTGCCTGGGCACTCACTGAGAGGTGGCCCGTTGTTTCAAGCCTCAAGTGGAGGCAGTTTACAGCAAAAGTTCAGTGAAAGTCAGAATCCCAGCAAGGAGTAGATTGCAGCCCCAAACTGGGGAGTTCAAAGAAAGACAGTAAAGAGAAGGACTACAAAGGCATGGGTAAGTTGTAGGGAAACCCACAAGAGATGGTACCATACCCCAAGACTAGCAACAGTAGGGAGCTACTCACCCACTAAGCCTAACGGACCAAGGAAAGGGAGTGGTTATGGGAACAAACAGAGGGGAGCAATATGAAAAGCGCCACCTGACAGGATTTATGGCCATGAAAAAGGATGTAGTCATTGTACAGCAATGTTCATAGCAGCATAATTCACAATAACCAAAAGGTGGAAACAAGCCAAATGCCTATTCCTTTTTAAGGAATGAAATTCTGATACATGCTACAACAAGGATGAACCTTAAAAACATTTTTTTTTAATCATCACCCGAGGATATGTTTTTATTGATTTTTAGAGGGAGAGGAAGGGAGAGAGAGAGAGAGAAAGAGAAACGTCGATATGAGAGAAAAAACATCCATCAGTTGCCTCCCACATGTGCCTGGACTAGGGATAGAACCTGAAACCTAGGTATGTGTCCTGACCAGGAATCAAGCCCGAAACCTTTTGGTGTATAGGATGATGCTCCAACTACTGAGCACCCAGCCAGGCAACTTGAAAACATTTTGCTAAGTGAAAGAAGCAGACAAATATTATATGATTCCTGTCATAAGAGGTACCTGGAATGGGCATAATTCATAAATACAGAAAGTAGAATAGAGGTTAACCAGGGGGCTATAGGTGGAGTAACAAAGAGCTATTGTTTAACGAATATGGAATTCCTGTTAAGGACGATGAAGTTCTTGAAATAGATAGTAGTGATGGCTGCACACTGTAAATGTCCTTAACACTACTGAATTGTACACCTAAAACTGGTTGAAATAGTAAATGTTATATTACATATATATAAAATCACAAGTTTTAAAAGACAGATTAAAAAAAGGAAAAAAAATAAAGATAAGAAAAAGAATGCAGTTCACCCACAGCAGTACTTCAGGGAGCAGCCTGGGGGATAAAGATCCAACTTCTTTGTCCTTCCTCCCTCCAATGGTGGCCAGAGTCTGTCATGGGTTGAACCTACAAGAAGGCACAGAGCGAGGGAGCCCATCGATGTACTTCATGAAGACCAGCCTTGCAGGGCACAGAACAGGGCAGAGAAGAAGATCTGAAGGGACAAAAGGAAGCTGGACAGCGTGGGTCCTGTCATTCAATCATCTGTTCTCTAAGGGAAGCACCAAACCCACAGTCACACCAACAACAAAAAAAGGAGTGGCGTGAGAAAAGCTGGTGGCGGGTGTTTTTTCCTTACCCAGAAACAGCCGTACACAACCAGTTAAACACAGCAGTGTATTTTCCAGTCAACCTAGAAAATCCTTGTTGAAATGCCGTGATGTTCATTTATATCTTTTGATCTAGAAATCCTACTTCTAGGAATCTACCTTAAGGAAATAATGAGAAATGTAGACTAACAATCGCCTCCAAGGAGATTCACTGAAGCATTCTTCATCATCACAAAAAGAGAAGCAACTAAATGTGCTGCATGCACAATGCATTGAGCGAGAAGCAGGCTGCAAGCAAATGTACGTGTAATGCCACTTGTGTAAGAGGCTGCAGAGCACACTGGAACATTAGAGTGGCTATCTTTAAATGATTGAATTAAAAAATGATTTCTTTTTCTTTTTCAGGCTTGGTTATTTTTCAACATGCCTGTATTGAACATGATTTACTTTGAAAATCCAGAAAAAAACAATTCATGGTATTTTTTAAAAAACCTCATGTCTGCCTCACATAATAAATACCCCCAACATAGAGGCCCGCAGAATCTTCTCTGTCGTCCTATAGAAAAGGCATTGATTGCCTGCTGGCTGCCATTAATTTGGAGGGAAGCAGCGGGGGGAGGGCAGCCACCTCCCCTGAAATAGCGTGTGTGGCTGAGAGTGCAGCTTCCTTTGAAAGAATATTGCTAAACGCTGAAATTCTATCTCCTGCAAGAAATGATTTCTGCTGGCTGTGCAAACGTCAGGCTGGAGCCTGCCCTTGGAGAGGCGGCTGCATTTCTATGCATTTGTAAAATCAGCAGAGCCTATGCATGAACAGTCACAGTGGTTGGTTTTACAAGCTACTCATGACAGGCATCTGCACGAGGGAAACCGTAGCTCGGAGTGGATTTAACCTATTGTGATTCCTTCTAATTTCACATTTTGCCATTGTGAAAGGGTGTTGTTTTACCCACGTGAAAATGCTCTTGGTGTAAAATGAGTTCATAGACAAAAGAAATGAAAATGCATTGACCTAAACTTGGTACAATCTGGCCTACCTGTGACACCTTGTTTAACCACTCCTCACCCTTGCACCACTCTGGGCAGCCAGCGACCCGCTCATCAGGAATACCAGGTGTGTGCAGGAAGGTGTGTTTCCAGAAGGAACTGAGCGTTGCTTGGAAATGACAGCTTTGGATGGCCCGCTCCTTGGATGTTCAGCACAATTCTCCCCAAGGCTTCAGGGGTCTTCCCCAGGAGAAGGGGACACCTGCCCAGGCCAGAGACCCTGCTGGGCCTGCTCCGTGCTGGGTCTCTCTGCTAAAGACTGCCTATTAGTGACAAGGGCCACGCCAGTCTCGGATGACACAGAAGCACCTGTCTGCTGCTGGCTTGACATCATGTCATTGCATAACGTCAGCAGATGGTAGGAGTTTTTAACCCACACAGACTGTGCTTCCTTCAAACTGAAACTTGGTATCATTTCCTCTTCAGATCATCAGCTGGAGTTGTGATGTTTTTTCCCAGGGAAATTAGTTTTGCCATTAGTGAAATCAATACGATGTTACCAAAAAAAAAAATAATGGGAGGGCTTTAAATTCCTAAACAGCCCTGGTCAGGGTGGCTCAGTTGGTTGGGCATTGTCCTATGTACGAAAAGTTTGCTGGTTTAATTCCTAGTCAGGGCACATGCCTGGGTTCGATGTCACTCTCACCTCCATGTTTCTATCTCCCTCTCCCTTCTTCTCTTAAAAAAACTCAATAAAAAAAAAATTAATGAGAGTGCTTTAAATTCCTAAACAGCCCTGGTCAGGGTGGCTCAGTTGGTTGGGCATTGTCCCATGTACCAAAAGTTTGCTGGTTTAATTCCCAGTCAGGGCACATGCCTGGGTTCGATGTCACTCTCACATCCATGTTTCTCTCTATCTCCCTCTCCCTTCTTCTCTTAAAAAAATCAATAAAAAAAATCTTTTTAAAAATTAGGATACAAATATGAACCACGGAGAGAAGCCATTCTTCACCAATTAGGTTAGGCACAACAACAACAACAAAAAAACTTGTGAAGCCTTTCAACACATTGCTAGGATCACATCCCCAACGATTCTGACCTAGTAGGTCTTGGGTGGAGACTGCACATCTCTATATTGAAAATGTTCCACTTAAGAGCAATTGCTTCAGAAAAATTACTGGGTAAAATGAGACCAATTCTAATGGCACTTACTGTTAGTAAGTATATTTTTTCTTTTACACTTGATTGCATTCAGACAAGGAGATATTTACCCATTGTGTATTCTTGTCCCAGACTACTGACTTAAGATTTGAGTGAGATCAAAGAAGAGAGGCACCTTAACATAAAGCAGGATTATCCTCCTGTCTTTCACAACTGAGTGGCTCACTTTCCCCACAAGTTTCCAAGTTATACCTGAGAGCTCCCTGGTCTGAAGCCAGACTGAGAGGGAATGCATATTTCCTAATGACTAATCTGATATTATTTCTAGAGAGAAATTAAGTGAGAGCATATATAACGTGGCCAAGTGTACAAAAGGTGAAGGCAGGCATATCTGAAGATGCCCAAAGATTCAGAACGTAATACTGTGGTTGCATTTGACTCTAAATTCCCATAGAGGAAGATGGATTTTTTCCCCATCAGTATTGGCAAAAAAATTTCATTCTTTCTTCTTCTTCCTCCATGACCTCCTCCTCCTTCTTCTTTTTCTTCTTTTTACCCTACATAAATGTCTTACACTATAGAAATTATCAAAACAAGCATCAGACAAGGCCAGAAAGGGAGGCAAGGTGGCCTAGGTTTTTTTATGCGTGTGACCAGAGTTCTTAAAAAGCTGTTAAACTGTCATGCCAGGTAGTCAGCATTCAGTGAACACAAAGGAAAGTGTTGCAATCAAAGAATCATTTCTTTATTAGCTTAAAAATACAGAGTGCTAATTGTATGTTACTATTACTTCATGGCCAATTATGCCATCGGTCTGGTTCAAGCCTGCAGAATAGGCCTTGATAGCGCCCGCACGAAGGGAAGGACACAGATTCACTTTCAAGGGAAGGACACAGATTCGTTTTCAAGTGGCAATGCTTTCAAAAACAATGACGCTTTGTGGGCTCTCTGCAAATACAAAGTGATCCATGCAGAAGAAGTCGGGGATTGATTTATACTCCCAGAAAAAGAGATATTACCATCCTGAATGAATCCTTCAAAACGTCTCAGGTGGTTTAGGATCTCTGTCCCCTAGCTTATGAGGGGTCAGTTAGAAGGACGAACTTCCAAGCACTATCTGGCATGAAATAATAGTAACAGCTGGACAAGAAAGGTCCTTGGAGAGGAGACTAGTTGAGACGAATTGGTGAGCAGAGCCCCCCTGCAGCCCTGATTTGGAGGACGCCCCTGAAGGCATGCCACTGTTATCTGGGAGTCTGTGCTTGAAGCTCTGCAGCATCTGCCCCAGATCTTTCCGGAGAAAGGATTGCTAAGCAGGAGCTGAATGATCACATCATTCACACTTGAACTGAATGCGATGAGCACATTTGTTTGTCCTCATTAAGGGCGGCATAGCAGGCACTAGCCGACATGCAGAGGCAGCGTGCTGGGGCTGGGCCAGGGAGCCAGGCACTGGTCAGGAGAGCTGGGCTCTCTCTGCCCACAGTCTGGCCGGGACAAACTCTGCAGCCTGGGGAAATTAGCTGCTTCTCTGAGGTCTCGTCAATAAGAAGAAGCATTTAGGTAGAGGTTTCCCAGAAGCCGCTGGAATCCCAGGAAATGCCCTCGGGCCACCTGAGGGGTCCAGGGGAAGGCCAAAACAGGCACAATGCCTACAGGGCCATGCCCCCATTTCAAACAGCGTACCTCTGATTGGATCCTTTATATATAGGAGTTCTAAGTAAGTCTGATTTTAAAGGTTTGAAAATCACAGGACTAGCTAACCTCATAAAAGGCAACCTGAGAGTCTGAGGCCTTTCTTCATGGTTGAGCATAATGGTGCTCAGAAGCATGAACCGTGGAGCCAGCTTGCCTGCGTTCGGCCCTCTGTCTAGAGCTGCGTGACCTTGGGCAGGTTTCTTAACTTCTCTCTGCCTCCGTTTCCTCACCTGTATCAGGAGTGTAATAACAGTATTTGCCTCCCCATGAGGATTAGATGAGGTAATATCGGTGAAGCCCTCAGAACAGTGCCTGGCACATGAACAAGTGTTTCTTCTTCTTATTGGTGCTTGCCTGCGTTCGGCCCTCTGTCTAGAGCTGCGTGACCTTGGGCAGGTTTCTTAACTTCTCTCTGCCTCCGTTTCCTCACCTGTATCAGGAGTGTAATAACAGTATTTGCCTCCCCATGAGGATTAGATGAGGTAATATCGGTGAAGCCCTCAGAACAGTGCCTGGCACATGAACAAGTGTTTCTTCTTCTTCTTATTGGCGCCAGCGAGCAGTGAGCTTCTGGGCCAGCGTGGTTAATCAGGCCTCAAAAGGAAATGCAGAAGAGCTCACTCAACCCATATAAAGGTACTTGGGGAGCATAACTGGATTGATTGAAAGTGCCTTTTGAAACGGTACTGTTGGTTTCTGATTCACACTTGGGAAGAAAAGCAGAACAGAAGGTGATAAATTCCTTTATGGGAGAGCTTGGCAGGGAAGGCAGATGCAACTGTAAAGTTAATTGGAGAACGGGAGGTGGGACTCCTGGGCCAAGGCAGGCTGAAGGCCTGAGCATGTTCTCCCTCTCCGCTCGGGTTTATGGTGATTAATTCATTAGGGATTCTGAAAGGCCATTCTTGGGTGGCTGCTGGTCCTGTTTTCGCCCAGACAGGGATGATGTCAGCATATAGTTTATGGAGTTCTGCAATCCTTGGGAGGATTCCAGGAGCTTATAGAGCGTCTCCAGGCTGCTGGCCAGCACATGAACACGGAATCCCACTTGAGTCCTGTGTATCCCAACTTGCTTATCTCCATCAGGATTTTTGTTGCTCTCTGTACAAGCATTGGGGCATGAGAAGCAACCTCAAACGTTCCTTATGTAGGACTCATTTTTCTAGTCCTGCTGGCGTGAGTCTGAGAATTCAGATGCATTTCTCAGCCCCTTCTCTAATTCACAAAGAGCTTGGAATGAGATACACCAGGAATATATCAAATTTAAGATGCAGAATTTGAGATTGTAAAATGTATCCTTATTTTATGACCACTAAGAAAGAAACAAATACCTGCTAATTAAACCCTAACATAAGCTTTTCTTTTTAAAAAATCAGTTTGAAATGCTCCTTTCAGAGTTTGACACAGATTTTTAAAAATCACATATCACTCTTGTGCATGCATAAAGAGCAGCATTGCAGCGTAGGGTATTCTTAACATGTTTTTGTGTGCA